CCCGGATTCTAGCGTTGTAAGTCCGCAGACATGTCGCTGTGCCACTTGGGGGCACACTCTTCTTTACTTTCACTCGGAAGTTCTTATAGTTGTAAAGTTGGTTGTAAAAACAACAATCATGGTATCTCTAAATCTATACTTCAAAGGAACCAGAATATCTGCCGAATTGTAGCCATAGTCGTACGTCACATGTTAAAAGCTGAAACAACTGTATGCGTATTTCAACAAAAAATAATTTTTATAGTGAAACTAAAAACTAATGTTGAACAGTTTATATGATTTTTTTTATAATTTTTGTTTTAGATATGAAATCACAACTTTAGGGATTTATTTTAAACAAAACCCCGAGTTAGCAAATTTTAGTCAAAAGAAAATGCTATTAATATTCCTATGAAAATGCATCAGAATTACGTAAAGTAACAATCACACTTACTGACTAACTAGGTAAAAATAAAATTGTCCATTTCAAACAAGGAACTATTATAAAACAAAAACCATGCAAATTAAGATGTGATAATAAAATGTTTATAATATTTGGGTGTTGTTAACAAATTTGAATACTTACAACTGTTTTCGACATAATATTAATATTTTTGATTTGTTAAAGCTATTTTTATACCTTATAAACATAATAAGCATAACAACCCTTTATTTGAATGTTTTGTATTGACATATTTTACTTGTTACGGATAGTATGGTTTACAAATATATTTGGTCGCCATCTAGTGGCTGATTATAGCTATAAAAAAATGAACAGTGATATTGCGTTTTTTATACTTGAATGATGAATGCGCGCCGATTTGTTTTCAGAAACTTCGAGTTACGTATCACGAATACTTAAATCAGATAATACTGAATTATATAACAAAGAATTTGAGACATGTTAACAAGTTGAATTAAGTGTTTTTCGTAATCGTAGTTATTGAATTAAAGTTTTCATAACTATGCAATATTTCTGACGTGTGAAAAGGAATATTTACACTTTTAATTTTAACCTGCAACACTTAGTTTCCATCCCACTCACAATCACGTGTATTGTAGACTTGTTACAAAATACACGCGTCTGGCAAGCACTCGACCTAACATTACGAATAACTGAACGTATATTTTAGTTCTCATGTGTATTTGTTAAGAATAAAGTAACTATAATTATAAATTTAGATATTTTAAGTTGTTTCGGATAATTCTATAATCATTACATCTGATGTAAAACGTTCCAATTTAACGCTAGGGGTAACTGGGGCGATTGTTACGAAGATAAGTTTAAAAAGAATCTGTAGTTGGAAGCTTCTACAAGAGATGGCGCTATATTGTGTATTTTTATTCATAATTTAGAAATATACTGATTCAAAATATTCTATTGAAATATATTTTTTACACAGAACTAACTAAATTCAATAAATTTCATCAAGCAAACACATATTCTTGTATTTTCTACATTCCTAATATAGCTCTTTTAATACATCAACTTGTTGAAAAATGAAGTTAGTCTATCTTAAAGACTGCCACGTGAGCTTTTTTTTTTTAATATGGCAGTCAATTTTTTATTCTGGCCATGGGTTTGTTCATAATGTACGTCAAGATGTTTAACAGTCGGGAAGGTAAAAACACAGAAAGCGATTTGGTCAGTTAGATGGGACTACTTAAATCTCTAAACATCTCTGCGTGGCGTGTATTTCAAGATTTATCAAGATTAAAATATTGCCGTTAATCCAGCATATCTATATAATAAAATAGAATTACACAACATTTCATGAGTATTTTCACAGACGCACTTCTAGCGAAGTCTAGTAATCCCATCGTTACTGTCCAAACTGTCTGGTGCGGTAAAACCGCCTCTATTTTGGTAACTTTAACATAATGATGTATTTAGAAATTTTTAATAAATCAAACGCGTGATCAGTCTTTAAAGAAAACATAGGCACTGTACGGTGTTTCATGATGAATTATATTTATGTACATTTTTAGTGTTCTTTTGGTTTGCCGTGAGGGCTTTATTACATGACGACCATTCCTAATATTCGATTAGAGTAGCTTAAGGGTTGGCGGTGGGTGGTGTTAACTTGATGCCTTCCCTGTAGTCCATCATTTCTAAACTGTAGTTTCTGGTGTTACAAATTTAATGTAGGAAAAGTGGGCCACGAGTGTTATAAACAGCATTAAAAAAAAAAAAGGTCAAAGTAAAACTTTCAGAAATTCTGCCTTAACTAACATCGATTATTTTTTAAATTTAAGTGCATTTATGTGCAGATTTCTTACTTTTTGCATTTTACCGCCACGAGCCAGTACGTTGGAAAATTATCTATATTCGAGACTACTGGCCTAGCTACTATATTTTGTTTTAAAAGTATACTGAAGGCGTCAGGCTATGTCCGCACGTAGCACATGCAAAGAGCGGGTTCAGTTTGTAGACGTCCAGAGAGATATGAGAAGCATCTACTAAAACTTATTCTGTTTTTTGTTGTTTTTTTCCTCATGCCTACATGAAGACATTGTTCTGTTCATAAATATATATAAACCATGAATAGTTAACTAAATTAGTAACCGAGGTAACTTATTATACTTATGGTTTTAGTAGTGTCTGATCAGTATGAACAAGTTCAAAATCCAAGTTGTTTAATTAAGCACTGAACTCTTACACAGGCTCGCCGATAGGGGCGAGTGCCCAGGGAACAGAGCGGATAGGATGGATACTTTTTTATTGTTTGTTTTTTAAAATTAATATTTGCGACAGAAAAGTAATTACCTGGTTCTTGCTGTTATTAATAGGATATAAAAAGCTATCGACAAAGTTCGCAGTCATGTTTGAGAGGTCATTGACTGTTCTGCCTTAGGGTACGAAATTACTGTTGGTGGGCTTGCTCTTGCAGCAAATGTCTTAACAAAATTCCATAGCAAAGAATCAGAGAGTTATTCATATTCTTAAAATCAATACGTACCTTATATTTTAGAAATTTATTCATGTTTGTTTAAAGGTTGTTATGAGGCTTAAGCCAACAGTCTGATTTCCGAAGTTCGAGTAAGAATGTATTTACGTACGTGGGTTATATGTTATCATGATAATTAAATTCACGACTTGGATTATTGTATTTTTGTAAAGAAGTTATCGGATACGGCAAAGTTTTTAGTTGGTGTTTACTATACATTTCAGGAGTATGTAGAGACAGGAGATATGCTTTCTGTGATGACACCTTGCCGTACAATAAAACTATTCTGCCAAATGTGGTCGGAGACACCAGTTATGACGAAGTCAACAGGTCTCTCCCCTACTTCGAACTCATTCTTCGATCAGAGTGCAATTTTCGAATCAAGCAGCTTGTCTGTGCCATTTTGGAACCCGAATGCAAAAACAACAGGCCAGTGGCGCCTTGTAGGAAATTCTGCAGAGGTAGGATGATTTATTTATGATCGTCACGGGGCGTAAGTTAATTAATAGCAGTAAGCCTTTCACGAGTTTCAGTAGCCGTTGTAATTACTTCTGTTTGGTACTGTAAAATCTTAACGTTGTCACACGATGTTGCTATAATGAATGGGGAAATATTTGAAGAAACAATACAATTCTGTCCATTTATTACCTTATTAATATGAAAACAATTTATCAACCTAAAATCTAAATATCATTGTGATAAATCAAAGTCGTTAAATGGTTTCAAGGCTTGCTTGTAACTAGATATTTGTATTCTTGTGCTTGGGACTAAAGCATTGAAATGGGTAAATGTCAGTTTAACAGGGATGAAAATTTTAAGTTTACGGAATGTAATTTAAATATTTTTCTGCTGAATTTCCAGTTTCCATCTATGAATGCCAGTCGTGAACAAAAAATTAGAACATTGAACTTTTATATAAAAACTTGATTGACAGGAATAGGTTACAATGGGACCAGAATCTTTTACAGTAATTGTTCCATGACTGTTTATATTACTATTATTCCATTTTATTGGGCACGGTAAACTGTGAAGAAAATTTTAATTATCGGTAATATTAATTCTGCAAAGTCACTTTTGTGTTATTAGCTAATCTTCCCAGATTTATGACAACTTTTCTTGATTTCATTACCTAATACTTAGTTGCAACACAAGGCTGTGAAGAGTACATCCCTGTTGCCTTAGAACTATCCCAAGTGTTCCAGTGTCAGAAGTACCCAGATTCAAACAATCCAAACGTTTGTGTTAATCTGGCTCAGAAAGGTACGTCTACTGCTGTTGCAGAATTTACGCCCAGTATCGTTTACGTTTACATCGAAAATCTACATGTATGTTAGGTGTCATTTTTGTACTATATCTTACACAATATCTTATATTATCATCAAATAATTGTAATGTTTCGTGAATAATCCAATCATGTTTGTTTTTCGGATATTTGTACGAAATCATTATTATAATACTACTACAACAGCAATCGTTTATGCAACAGTAAATGGTGTAAAGAGAACTTTCTTAGACTTAGAGTTACAACTGAATACCGTGGCATTTTAAATAAGTACAAGTGTTGCGTTGCTATGTATGAAACATGCCGAGCCATTGAAAAGAAAATAACACTTATTTACTTGTTCGAAGTTACATTTGTAAATATGTTCATTATTAAAATGATTTAGTAAATTTATATTTACTTTTGAGATAAATAAAAACCCGGTCTATATTCTAATATTCTTCTTATTGTTACAGTATGTTTAAGTGGCGAATTTCAGTGTCCCGATAAGGCGTGCATCCCCAAACAGTGGCAATGTGATGGCATTCGAGACTGCATATACGCTGCAGACGAGGCTAACTGTAACGGTAAGTGCAAGTTTTCACTTTATATTTTCAACAACGGTATAAAGATCAAGCATCAAAGTCAAAACCCCACAACAAAGTTGCACGACTCTGATGTACCCCAGGGAATCCGTCATGGTACCTGTTATCTTTGTGCTTTTTAACCATGCTCAGCATAATATTTAGTACAACAAATTTCTTGAATCAATCAGACCCAGTATTGAAAATAAAAACAGTAAGCTCAAATTGAGAATGGAAATATAATAATTTTATGAAATTTCCATTGTTTAAACCAATAAAGCTTCCTTTTCAGGTTAGTTCCAAAAACTAGTTTTATGCACATAATGGCCGTATATTATGATTTTAAGAAATAAGCATGCATTTTCTTTTATACAGTAAAGAAGATATATAAAAATATAAAGTTTAATGATTGCATCAATAATGTATTATTATTAACCTTGTACAACAATTACATTTGTCATCCCTCGCCAACTTGCAAAAGGTTTACACAATCATAACAATTGTCCATTTCAAACACTTGTTTACTTTCGTAGCGCATGCCCACTATTTCAGACAAGAAAAAGTCTGCGTTTCAGTGTGTTTTCAGTTGAGTGGGAGTGGAGCTCCTAGTACTCTGTGTATGTAACCGAAAGGACCAAAGTGGACCTGTACAGTTTTCCAGTTTTATATCTATTGTTTACTATAATGAGTCATGAGAAATTGAACTATTAAACTACTGCAGAACTATTAAATAGAAACAGTTTAATTGGTGAAGAAACTGATAAAGGGTTTAATAACAGGAGCTGTAGTGACGGTCATTGTTTCGGAGAGATCTGAACGTAAAATGGTAATAATTTTCCCGATTTACAAAATGATGAGCTTGAATCTTCAGTACTTTCAAGATCCACCACAAACAGCGTCCAGTGTCGAAATGGTCCTCGCAAAATTTCGTAAATAAAGAATCGAGTTTTGAAAGGAAAATATATTTTTATTCATTAATCCTTGGGTTGTAGAAACCCCTCGTCAGGAGCGGCCGTAGGTAGGTGCTGGGCCTCGTGCAAATATAAGAATTTGGTACTGAAAGTGAAAGATAGCGAAATCAGTGCAAAATCAACTATCAGCCCTTTGCCTCCTATTTGAATCCGATAAAGTAACCTTCAAATAAAAATGCATTAAAATAAAATACCTCATAATATACAACTAATCAAAATTTATTTCAGTATGTCTTTAAAGGGCGAAACGCCAAACTTTGCAGAACAGTTTCATAAATCAACAACACGTGTTAGAATAGCTGAAAATTGATGCTATTTCACATGTAATGGCACTTTATGAAAATATTGCAGGGTAAACATTTCTATGCAAACCTCGTGGGCAAGACAATTCATTTGCCACCACTTTGCAAAACCGTAGTCCTGTGGCCCCCATTTACAGGGCTGCTATAATGAAAATTTAATGCTTATAAACAGATAACGTACTAAATTTAACCTATATGGCCCAAGGTTACTGAAAATCTTTACAATCTATTTTTTGCAGTGTAAAGAAGGAACTTGCCCAAAGGTAGTTTATTTTCTCTCCTCTCTCTTTGGGATGCATAACACAACATACTTTTGTAATTTATTCAATCACTTCTATGAGTTGGTGGGTTCTTTTAGATTGCCTAATACTTTGTAACAATAATGTGCAGTCCATGTAATAATAAATTAGTTTATTACTCTTATAACATTTCTACAGTCTATGCCTCCCTCAATGGCTCAACAGCAACTCTGAAGGCTTATAACACTAAAAAACGAGTTCTAGTACTTGTGGTGGGCACAGCACACACAGCCCATTGTGTAACTTTGCACTTAACAACAAACAAGACAAATACCTACAGGCTGCATTCACTTTGCTGGAACTATTGAGCCTAAAGGCACGAACAATATTTCAACACTAACTTCACAATTAAATTAGACCTAACTTCAAATACAATGTTTTAATATAAAATGTGAGGTGTACGCCTAACTTAACTACTTAGCTTTGGCCAATAAACAGATATGTATCTCACCAAGTAATGGAATAACAGAACAGATGCAATAATTTCTCATTAAATATTTCACTTTGATATACGTCCCAGCTGCAGTGAAAGGGTTAAAGTCATGTGAAGTTCTGACCTCTGTTACTTTTGAAAGCAACTCATTCAGTAAGTCAGTCAGTCAGTCACCCTATTAGAAAAATACAACTGGATTCTAGTCTGTCTTTTCCAGATCTTAAACTTGGGCTCTCTTGTTGTATTAACTTCAGAAATACAGAGCTGTCAACTTTCTCCCATTGAGTGTGAGACTTACACATACATCTGTGCCTATTTTTCTCCTAACATTCATTAATAAAAAAAAAAAAAAAAAACCTTATGGTTTGGTCAAGTTAGCAACTTTCTATAACACACCATAATTGGTTGACTGGTTGGATCCAGGTAAAATTCATCATCACATTTGATCCAAGAAATGCATTATGTTGCACCATTTTCCTTCATTGAATTAAAAAATTTCTGGAAGAGCCTAGACCCACCTAGAAAGCAACTGCCTTAAATGCTCACAACACTTTCCATGCACTAAAACTTTACTTTTTTTTTGAATTTCTAACTGAACAGGTTACTAAAAGTTGGCAGACCTGGAAATAGCTTAAAGAAATCTAAAGCATTTATCCTGTCTATCTGCCAGATAATCTTGTAAACTTCAAGAAGATCACCTCTTATCCTTCTCTTCAGAACAGAAAATAATTTAAGAGATCTTAAATTATTCCTGTAAGATAACCCTTCAATCTTCAGTCTTTTTTGCCATTAACATCATTTAAGATCTAATTCCTATTTTAACATTTTTTTCAATTTCAATAAATTTAAAGATATTGTTACGTCTCCGTTTGTTAATTGATTTTTTTTGTAACTTTGTTCCGACGAAATTTTAACGAC